ATTTATAGCGGTGTTTACAGTTAACGGTTAGTTCATATCTTTGATTTAAGAGATGGGTCTTATTTTTAAATCTAATTATTTCAAATTTTTCGTTAAGACATAGATAACAATGGGCATATAGGGAGTTACATGTTCGGGCTCTCTTGATTAATTTCCATTTAACAGTAGGTGTTTTATTCTTTTCTTTTAGACTCCAAAAATACTTGGATAATGAAGTCTTGTACTTATAATTACTGCTATTAAAAGATTGCATATGCCCCCGCCAACGTTCCTTGAATGAATTCATGGTGCTACCAATGTAAAATTTTTTGATATTTGGGTTTTCTAGTGTAGAGATTGTACTAAGATAAACTACAGAACTAGTCAAACAATTATTCTGTAGTGGACAATTATTTGGATTCCTACAATTGCATAAGTTGTTATTCGTGTCATTATACTTAGTAGTACTGCTTGCAACCTGGTGAGTAGTCAAGTTTTTGAGTCCCTATACTTGTTAAAGACTCTGTTGTTATGTTTCTTAATTATTTTCTCTAGGTTATCCGCACAACTATAGCTTAATTTAAGGGTATTAGGATTGAATATTTTACTAAGTGGGTTAGTTTTGGGGTCGGGGAAATGTTTCTTGATGAGGTTTAGAAATATACGTCCTAATTTAGTTTTAACCATTATATTGAAAGGGGGAGTAAACCAAATGATCTTTCTAGATCTTCTTTTCTTATTATGGTCATAATTAACAGGGTTTCTATATTGAATAGTGGTACCCTTGTATCCACTATTTTTAAGGGCAGAATTGTAAAAATCACGATGTTTATTAAAAACCTCTTTGTTAGAAGAGTTAGTACTAATCCTAAATCCAATGGAGGAGGGTATGTACTTGATAACCGAAGTGGGGGTGGTTGGAATTGGGATGCACATATACTGGGTTGGAATTAACCTTCACATAAGGTTGGAAAGTGTTGCTAGTAAGGTCTAGGGTGACGTCCAGAAAATCTACTTGTTTAATGTTAGTTGTAACTATAGTCCTAAGACCTAAATCCTTAAATTCCCTATGGATCATTTTTCTAATACGGTCTACCTTAATTTTAGTAGAGTTTTTAACAACTAATAAGCCATCATCTCTATATAATCCTACACTATCAGAATCTAGACATTCAAAAGCACTTAAATTGTATAAAAGAAATAATCCAACCAAGTCAGAGGCTTCTGCAGAATCCAAAGAACCCATTGAAATGTCAAAATTATCACTGCAAGACTTTTTGATCCACTGTTCTTCATTGTAGAACAGAACAGAATTTCGGCATTTCATGATTATATCCACTTCACTCTCAGAAATATTGAAGTATTCTCGAGCGAACTCCAAGGCAAAAGTGAACAAATCCTTCGATATGGTGGAATAATAGTCAATAATGTCGAACTGTATGAAGGTGCAGTTGTCCTTATTTTGGATGTTAGTAAACCAATTGATAACATCAGCCGTGTTAATCCACTGTAAAAGTCCAAGGGTGTTTTTTTATGGAGTGGTTGGTTCTTTCAAAAATAGTTTTACTGATTCTGCCGAGTTCTGGTCTAGTAGGGTTAATAAGCCTAGTAGATGGCTTACTTCTGAATTCGGGTTTATGGTCTTTTAACAAAACATAAGCTTCCTTAGTTTGCGTTTATTACCCGTTTATCCGTAGTTTGTGATAATGATTTTATCCGTTTATTATTTATCTATGTATATGATTTATAATTAATTTAATGGAACAGTTAATTTCAAACTTATCTATCTGGTTAAAATTATTAGTGTCAATTTGTCTTTATATTTGTATTCATTGTTTATGGTCAGACTATTTTTTTTGTGTAAGGTATCTAAATAATCCTTTTATGTATTATAATCTGATTGTGTAAATTTTTAATTTTCAAGATGTTTTTATCGTTTATTCAAATGTAAATATCATTTTCAGAGAACATTTGATCTTAACGTTTATTCCAATAACAATCAAAATAAATTTTAAAATATGTAAAGAGTTTCTTTTTTATAATTTTAAACTTAATATAGATAAAATTTAATTCTTTAAATGGGTAATTTTAAATTTCATCGTATAATTTAATATTTATTAGTTAGAATAAATTCTATTTTAGTCTAACCTCAACATTAAAGCATTATATAATTATTATAACCTTAGTTCGTTGTCAAGTTTTTTGAATTCTCGTATATTTGTATTTTGATTGGTCATTCAAGCTTATGTAACAGTTTTTCCCCTTAGCGAGGGGGGGTTGATTGATTTGAACCTTTTAAAACCCTTTATTCTACATTAAACATCATCACTTGATAAGACACCAGAGGCGTTGAAACAAAATGGCTATTTTTGCAGTGATTTTATAACGTATTTATGCTATAATTTTCGAATAAATAATTATATTTGCTCTACTCTCTATTCAACACTCTTTTAAGAATAGTATTTGTTGGTTATTGGAATTTATTCCGTATATACCAATCCTATACAATAAAATATATATATATATATATATATATATATATATATATATATATATATATATAATAATATATATTTGTAACTGTGTGTGTGTGTGTGTGTGTGTATGTATGTATATGTATATATCAAAGCGTATTCATGAACAACAGTAATATTACAGCGTTCAGAACATTAGTTTAAAAAAACAGTGCTCAAATAACAAAGTAGAGCCGTAAATATTTATCATATGCAGTGTTACAAATCAATGAAAGTGAATATATATATATATATATATATATATATATATATATATATATATATATATATTATAAAAATTATTATAGTAATAAAAATTAGATAAAAAAGAAATACATTAAATTTTTTAGAAATATACAAATAAATACACACACACACACATACACACACACACACACACACATATATATATATATATATATATATATATATAGTGGTGGGAAACAAGTATTCGTGCATATACAAATTTGTAATTTGTTTTATTTGTCAATTCTCTTGCCATGATGATAACCTTCTTGCACGAATATCAATTATAGAATGTTCTATTTGTACTTTTTAGGCGAAAAATAATTACTGATAACGTTATTGGAACATTCTAAAATATTCCACTTGAATAATCTAGACTATTAAAGCAATTTAAATTTTTAAAATCTGAAACTTGCATTGTACGAATACTTTTTTCACCCATTAAAATAGATAAATGGTGTTTTTTTTCTAATAAATCCATTTTTTCTGTTTTCTATGCATATTTAGTTATTATGCATCTGTGTACAGTTAATTATATGAAAAGTATGTTTATTCATTATCGGAAATACACTAAATTAAAAAAAAGAATTTGTGTACAAATATATTTTTTTCTGACTAAAGATTATATATATATATATATATATATATATATATAAATATATATATATATATATATATATAGGTGAAAGAAGCAGTGTGAATTCTTTCTCCCTGCCAGCTATGGGTAAATAATATGACAAACTGGGTTTATAGCCTTTGATGGCAACTGCTCTAAAAAAGTTTAATGATTTCAAAACCTGCGGAGGGTCGTTTGGGGACCCTGTGGCAAAAATCGTGCAACAGGTCTCTGTATTCATAACCAAAAGGTGGGATGGTCCTGCAAAAGAGTTTCACCACTATAATCAAATCTCATGTGCCGGTGTCGGGCTGTCGGTTTCCTGGGAACTGATCTGCTTAACCCTCAAACGTCGGATTCGACAAAGAGTCATTATTGTATATATCCACCCTATAACTCATTATATATAATTCATTTATCTTGCTAAATATCTACTTTTTTATAATAATTTAGGTAAAATCTCATTGATTCATTAATAGTTACTATGAAAAATAAAGAAAAAAATTCTCATTTATTTTCTTTTGCATTGTGAAAACTTCTGTAATTTAAAATGGCTGCAAGTTATTACAAAAAATATTTCTTTTGCGCATATATATATATATATATATATATATATATATATATATATGCACAAACTTTGAATACAACACAATCAAATAAAGAACGACATTCTCTCTCTCTCTCTCTCTCTCTCTCTCTCTCATAGACACACCCTCTCACATACACAGTGTCTTACACACACACAAAGTGGATCAGTCATTTCGTAGCCTGACAGTTATTTGGTGAATATTGATCAGAAATTTTCATTCTCTAAAAGATCTTTTGTGATTAATTATAAGACACTTTTTTAAGTCCTTAGGAGATTATATCGAAAATAGTATTTATTTCCCCCCCCCCAACTTCTCAGACTCTGACCAAATAACCAAATATCAGAATTTTGGTGGTAAGTGGTTGCGGGGAGATCCACTCTTGGTCAGACACAGAACTTTACAATACTTCCACGTCTCGAAATATGTTAAAGGTCAGACGTATTTTCTGACTCATTCATCAATATATAAAATAATTCATTGAAAATTAAGGCATACTGAATAAAAATGGGAGGAAAAATTGGTTTTTTTAATCTAAACATCTTTTGTTTTTTGATCATTGCTTAACCCCAATGTCATCTTATTATTCGCTCGCAGTGAATCTTCCTGTCTAACTTCCGATGGTGTTGTTAAATCTTTTATAAATTCTTTCTTTTTTTTGTCATGGTTTCTGGCGACTTTTATGTTTGGTTCTTTGAGTTTTCTTGAGGCAAGCGTTTATGGAATCTGAGTGTTGCTTTCTTTCTTTGTTCTTTCCTAATTAAAATTAATCTTACACTTTCTTTATCTCTTTCATATTCTGTGTCAAACCTTCTTTTTTTTCCTTTCTCTTTCTCTATCTGCCCCTCTGTCTCTCTCTCTCTCCCTTTCTCTCTCGCTTTCTCTCGCTCTCATTTTTTTTCTTAATTTCTCTGTTTCTTGTTGTCTCATTCTATTTGTTTAATTCTTCTCTTTCGCTATTTTTACCTCCTCTATCACGCCCCCTCTTTTGAACTTAACATTTACTTTCTTTTTGTCTTTCCTTCTCATTCTCTTTATCTATCTCTCTTGACATATTCTATGTCAAATCTTCTTTTCCTTTCTCTTTCTCTACCACTCTCTCTCTCTCTCTCTCTCTCTCTCTCTCTCTCTCTCTCCCACCGTCTCTCGGTCTCTTTTTTCTTAATTTCTCTGTTTCTTGGTCTCTCATTCTATTTGTTCATTTCCTCTCTTTCGTTATCTTTTACCGTATCTATTACGCCCTCTCTCTTTTGAACTTAACATTTACTTTCTCTTTGTCTCTCCTTCCCTATCTATCTCTCTATCTCTTTTTTTCTTTCTATTTCTCTAACTTTCTTGCTTGCTATTGGTCTATCTTTCAGGTCTGTCTATTTCTCTCGTCTTTTCTCCTTCGCCATTTCTTTTTTTTTCTTTCTCTAGTTATCTGTTTCTCACTGCCTCTCTCTTTTCTTCTTCTTCTTCTTCTTCTTCTTCTTCTTCTTCTTCTTCTTCTTCTTCTTCTCTATACCCGTTTCTTTCTTTCTCGTTTTGCTATTTTCGCGCTCTTTTTTATTTACTATCGACTATTTTGGTTTCCTACTTCTACTACGCTTCTCTCTCCCTTCTCTCTTTCGCTCTAACCCTCTCCCTCCCTCTTTTCTACTCCCCCTATCTCTCATTGTCTTATTCCCAAAACTCTCTTTTCCTATGTATAACGATGCAACAGCCTATTCTTTTCTTTACTTTCTACTTCATCCCCTCTTCATTTCAAGTTGCTTCGCCATCATTTCTCTCTCTCTCCCTCTCTCTCACTAATTATCTACATTATATTAAATGACTACTCTCCTCGTAGTTGTTGTTACTACCACAACGTTTCAAGTGCTTTACTCTCCGACCTTCATCAGATGTATACCGATCCAATTAATGTACAGGGAATTTCAAATTGAACCCTTTATTTAATTTGCGGTAGGAGGCGGTTAGATAGTCCTTATTCCACTAACCATGTTTAGGGATATCTCTTGTTCCTATTTTAGTATTGTTCAGTTTAAAAACGGAATATATTGGACGATCACCATGTTTACAACTTTTGTGATGTCACACGTTGATAGTTTTTGTGATGTCAACAAATACTCGTTGTCACTTTCGTAATACTCGTTGTAGTAGAGACTTTGTAATCGCAGATAAAACTATAGTGCGCAGTTGAATAATACTAGTGTCAGACGCCTTCGAATAATCTTGCACTAATAGTACTTGCTCGATAATACTAGCTCGAATTGTAACCACCGAATAGTGATCCAAATAATAATCTGTTTAGTGATCAGCATAAAGCAATAGTATAGTGAATAGTAAGAATATTTTCCATATAGTAATTCAGAGGATAGAATAGAAATGGGTGATTAATAATAGTTCAGGCTAATTCCCCATATATATATATATATATATATATATATATATATATATATATATATATATATATGAATAAATATAGTCTTAAAAGTTGCTATATTTATGGGATAAAGTGCTCAATATCAGAGATAAACATGTTTAAATATAAAAGTGAACATTGAAGTCAACACTTAATAGGCGACAGGCTGTTTCATGCTAGACGCAAAATCGTCATGGCCTGACGATTGCGTCTACCTATAAATTTTGTTTCTTCTAATATATGAAATAGTATAAAACACAAACACACACATTGCATAAATATATATATATATATATATATATAAATATATATATATATATATATTAATTTATTCATTTTCAGTACTTTTTTTGCATCACAGCTCCTCACTGCAACTAGACAACCGAATATATATCGATTTGATGTCAGTCAAATATTCTACCACTGATTTTCTTCACTAGACAGAATGAGTCATTTTTATAGCGTATTGTCTTTATAAATGGAAACAAACGCCAAGCAGCCAAAATGCTCCATTCATTTTATTGAAGAATTCGCATTTACTCAGTTAACCGTTGTTTTTTTAGAATTAATGTCGTTCAAAAAACTCACTCAATTGAAAATATATTTTCAAGAGCTAAATTATGTCATTAACAGACAGTACTGTTTCGCTATATATATATATATATATATATATATATATATATATATATATATATATCCTTTACTATCACGTGATCTACTTATTAGAAATGGAATCACCTGTGTTTGCTCTCTGGTGATCTGTGTTCAAACTCCAGCGTCGCTAGCGACACTTTATTCGTATACATCAACAACCTCAAATACATTTCAAATGCATTCAAAATGACCTTTTCATGAAAATGATAGAAAGAAAGATAAGCTTTACAGAAATTTATAAGCGAAGAAGGACATCGTTGGAATAACAATAAGGAAAGTGGGTTAATTTGCAGTGTAACACCCACGCTCAGTTCGCCTTAAAAATTGCTAGAATACTTACATTTAAATGTAATTCTACATGCTCCATTGGAATCTGTCTTGATAATTTGATAAAATCTACCGTGTTATCGACAGTGAAGGTTCGGATTCATTCGTGTCGTTGGCGGCAGCCATTACTGGCGTTGTTGGCATACATTCGCTGCAGAATAGCTATCAGTGTAGGTATCATTGCGCAAACTGAGCGTGCCTATGTAAATAGTTCTCGTGCGCAGTAATTGAGAAAAATTTAAACAAGAAAGTTAAGTTCCGCGCTTAGCTTTTCGCAGCGAATGTATGCAAATAACACCAGTAATCGCAGACTACCCCAGATTTCGATTCGTGTAATAGAACGCAACGATATCTTGCGGCTTTATGTTCCTCAAGGAATTTAAAGGCATAATATATACTAGATTGGCAGATAGGTCTCATTATTTTAATGATGAACTCGCGTTAGTATTAGCGTAAGTTCTATTCTAATCGATTCTTTCCTCATATTTCTCGCATGTAATTCTCTCTTCCAGAGTGTAGCTTTCCTGTCTACGACCTTCAAACATTTAAATGTAATGTCAATCCGCATCGTCTATCTCCTTGAAACCTTTTACTTTTATTGTCCTTTCTCATTTGTAAATTCTTCTCGGGTTTTTTAAACTCTACATAGCTCATTGCGTTTTAGTGGCTTTATTGCCTTGCCCATAGCCGTGTGGTTAGAACGTTAACTTTCTGTCCATGAAACCCGGGTTCGATTCTCAACATGGTCGATTTCTGAGGAAGGTGATTTCTTGGTGTTATAGGTCTGGAAATTACCTGAAAACCACACCCCGAGTTGTTCCAAGCCTTGTTTGTAAAACTGGGGAGCCGTCGATGCCTTTGCTGGCACGAATCATAAGTCATCGTGACCGAGGGTTTGAGCGTGCTACTCTTGTTCAGATTGTTGATCACGCTAGATAATCAATATATCTCTCTCTCTCTCTCTCTCTCTCTCTCTCTCTCTCTCTCTCTCAGAAACTGTAACTAAAGTCCACTCAGTATAGTTGCATTATAAACCACAAGTGAACTCTGTGGGTGTTGAACAAATACAAAATGCGGATGAGGAGGTGTCTACAATAAATTAGCATAGATACCCTAGTCGAAGATCCCTTATCCTCGATTTCGATAGATAGCCATTTAGATTTGCAACCCATTGGGTCATTTAATCCCGAAATCTAATGTTTTTTCTTAAATAAAACCTTGTATTTAAAGTCATTTTTTTTAATAGTAAAACATCTGTTAATTATCTGTCTATATTTCTGAGATGAGCTATTGTAACTATTTAAATTATTTACATTGTTAAGACCATTCTCCTCATCGTAATTGTCATTTTCACGACGTTTCGGCTGTTGTAGGCTGGACATCTCAGTTTCAGTTATTTCCTTTGAGGAACTCAACTCACCACTGCTGCGGCCAGGTATTGAACACACAATTCTTGGGTGACGGCACTGGATTACTTCAGACAACGCTTTTATCCACTGGGCCACGTGTCCTTTGGGACTGACACCGAGATATCCAGATAAAGGCATGGTACGTGGAACTAGAACAATCTACCCGGTGGACGAAATAAAGGGTTCAATTTGAAATTCCGACGTATATCACCTGAAGAAGGCCGGACCGTATAACGGCCGAAACGTCGTTAATTTGACAATAAAGATGAGGACAATAGTCAGAACAATGTAAATGGTATATTAGTTATGGTTATATATTTTTAATTATTTTTTTTATATCAGTTTAATTTACCTTGCCGCTAATTTAGTAATGAGCTTCTATTCATAAATTCTAGGTACCAAAGAGGAAAGTAATATTTATTTTGAAACATACAAAAATGTGGTACAAGGCCATAAGGGGGGATTGGGGAAAAACTTAATTTGATTACTTTGAACCAAACATACCACAGTATTCCTTACACCAAAACAACACATTCTTACTTACACTACAGCCACATTAATACCTCAAAGTCTCTATGAAGTCCAAACTAGTTTTCATGTATACCATTTCTCTGTGGGCGGGGGGGGGAGAGAATAAAAATAAGAAATCTAAAAAATGAAACCCCAATGAATATTATGATTATTTCCAAACAGAAAAGTCTCTTTGAAGTCCTATTTCCCATATGTACAATTTGTCTAGGAGGGGGGGATAAAAACATTAACATGAAAATATTTATAGAAAAGGCATAGCCAATCATTGTTACGACGGTGGGGAAGGGACTGAAGCCGAGATGCCATGTCAGGAGCAATAACATTGCAGATTTTAATTTGTGTCTCATCAAGAATATCTAAATACTTAGCAGAAGCTTCAGACCTGATATGGCAGTAATATTCAATGTAGGGACGAATAGAAATTGTTATTATAGAATACATTTATATGTGAAAGAAAATAGACAAATCCTCCATTTCTTCGTGAGGAACAAACTATTTTATGGTAAAATCTTTCGTCAGGCGCACTAAGACTTCTTGACCTTTCGGGACGTGGCTATCATTTTGCTTTATGTTAATGTTGACTTTTTACCGTCCATCTTTGTCTGGTAACCTATTCACTCAGATTTGTAAAATAGGTTACCTGCTGTTTGACTCCTGCCTCTCTTGCATCCAGTGTTTTGTGGGTGTCTTGTGGGTGTGTAGGGACATTATAATTATTATTAATAAAATAAAAATATAAAATAATAATAATAATAATGCGTATCATAAATAAAATAAAACAAATAACATTAAAATTTTGTTTAAAATAAATTAAATAGAAAAAAATAATAACAATTCTCCCAGTATGCAACAGAAATTTTTCCTGCCTGAAAACGTACTTCGCGCCAAAAATCTGAACTTCGTTACAGACCGTTGGAAGGTGAAGATGCCAATCTCCTCTCCTCAGACTATTGCTTATTATAATGCGAAGTGAGTTCTTCCTTTTATCACATACTACAGTAAAACACAGCCACACCAATACAAAAAAAAAAAAGAAATAATTGTATGATTTCAATTTACAATTTAACATGCTTTAACGTGTTATTTTTGTGCATGTTTTTTTTTATTTCTGTGAAGAGGAGGCTGTCCCTGCTGGTATGATATGAGTAAAGCTACAGGTGTAAATGTCCATGAAATTTCAACTGTCTCTTCCTCATTGTCTATATCAGTGTGTTACACATAAATTCTACTCATTTTCATGAGGAAACAACACGAACACAAGAGTAGAAATAACGAAGGTATATTGCACGAAATAATAATACAAGATGTGGAAGGTGTTAGTATGACTGTCAGCCTGGTTTGGAGTGAACTACTATCGGCTCGACTCTATCTTGAGAGGTGTAGTATACACAGTGTTAGGAAGAGTTCATTGTGTAGTTATAGGTAAGGACCCATGATAGATAGATAGATAGATAGATAGATAGATAGAT